ATTATGATTGTCGAACTTTAAGAGTTTGAATATCATAAATATAAGAAACTAGTAATCACCCAGAGTATTTCTCTAGAAGCGATTTCTCTGATATACCGATAACCCATTGTAATTATATTTGCTCTCAAGACAATAATGCATGGGACATAAACATAATATCATCTATTAAGCATCTTGCTGCCGTTTAAATTTTCTCGCTCTTTGTCAGCATGATGTTGGGCTTATGAGTAATTTATCAATTTTATGATCTCTTTCTATTATGTCTTTAGAGCACAAAACATATCATATTTACTTATAAAATCTTTGCATTTACTTAGCAGATATTTATATTAAGGGACATTGATAATTACTTTTTTGCTCTATCTAAATTAAATGCCAAAAATTAAATATTGTTTGTAGCATTCAATCAATATTGCCACTTAGGTTTTTATTGAAGTTGTTTGACCTTGTTTTCGCAACTTGGTCGTATTGGTAGGAAGACTTAGAGAAACACACTTAGTCCGGAGTCCAGTGTATGCATAATCATTTCCAAAATCGGACCGTAAACGTAGTACATTCCCAGACGTTTCGCCGGCATCGCAGTCAGAATCGTCAGTAAGTTTTGCCATTCTTAGCATCATACTACAACTCGTCAAAGAGACAAGTGAAGCCGATCCTTTGACCAAATGTGTACTAAACAGTTGTGGTATATCTCCTTCTGACTCTGACTGTAAGACCTCTACAATGCATTTAACCTTTCCTTTGGACAGGTTTCAGCTTAGTTAAAAATTATATTATGTTGGACTGCTCACAACTAGCACACTAATATATGTATGACGGATAAGATTTTTCCCATTTTTTTAATTCATTTATTTATAAATAGAACAAAAAAATCAAACAAAGCTTAAGCGCACATGTAAACCCACGTTCAAAACTCGCCATATAAGTTATGCAGATGGTAATATTATGTCACTTAGAATAGAGCAAAAATTTAAGTATTTGAAGAGAAGATATAAATGACAAAAATTCAAACAAGTTGCCAAACTTACATGAGTAATG